GGTGACCGCGGGGAGATGGGGACGGGAGTTACCTGCGGAAGCCAGCAGGACGCGGCGTGCGGACGGCGCGGCGGGCTTTCGCCGGATTTATAGCCTCGCCTCTTGTAACGCATGCGGGGAGTTTCATCATGCCGGCGAGCACCAATCAGCGCGCGGCGGCGGGGCGGGGCGGGGCGGAGCCTGGCGGGACCCGGGAGGAAACTGCTTCCTTTGCGGCTCCCCGGGACTGAAGAATGGCGCCGGGGACCTGATGCCACATGGCTTCCCAGACTGGAGGCCTGGGGGAGACGGGGTTTGTTCCCATGGAAGTCTTTGCCCGTTCTGTCGGCAGATCCTTCCCCAGCAAAGCCTCTGAGGGTACTCTTGCCCAGCCCCCCCCACCCCGCCGCCCCCAGACCTGGTATGTAAATATGGGTACGCAGATATTTACTAACTGGCATTATTCGTGGTAAGGGAAATTGGCTTGAATGGTGGGGTCCAGGTCGATCACATGTTTTCTGTCGACCTTCAGGCAGAGTTCAATTTCTCCTCTCTGTATTCATTCAGCTTGTGATACCTGAAGGATTGCTCGCAAACTTGTGATTCTGACGTGTATACTACGCTTCGACCAGATGACATCCTTCTGCTGTATCACTTCTGTGTGGCTTCCTCATTTTCGGAGTCCCAGGCTCAACCAGCGAAATATCTTTAGGTTCTTAAACCTCTAGTTCATTCGATTTGATTCCACATCACTTTTGATAGTTGACAGATTTCCAGGGAAGGCCTGCGTTCCCATCTGAATTTTACTACTTAGTAATTATGTGCCATAATTTCACCAGGTTTCTAAGCCTAAATCTAAAGAGAATTCTTTCACCTTGGAGATTCTGAAGACTAAAGGGGCAGGAATTCTCGTGCTGGCACTCCAGGAGGGGAATGATTACTGGGGACTAGTGGAGAGATGAAGCCTCACCCTCCAGGACTCTGAGACCAGAAGGACACGTGGTCCTCAGCTCTGAAAGATTTGCCAGCCCCTTTCAATAACTCTCATTTACCCCGGGGCATGTGACCAAAAGGAAGATAAGGCTAAATTAGAGTGCTAACTAATTTTTAAGCCCACCTGAACCCTCTCCCAAAGTAGAAAAAGCTTCCAGATTAGAGTTCATGGCCAACATGTTCCTAAACAGTGGATGGCTTATCAGCAGCAGTGCCCCAATTTGGATCTGGTTTGGATCCATTACCCAATCTCTGACCCTCAGCCCTGAACTTGTGCCTTCCTCTCTAGTCCTGAATGTGCCCTTTTGGTGAGGATTTCAGGATGCTGCCCAGGGAAGGCCCTGCGGGTGTTGGACAGAATCAGGATGGGAAGAAAACACCTTTATTGGAACTCTCACCCTATTCCTATCTGGTGAATGTCATAGACAGGCCTTTTCCATAGTCTGTTAGCTCTGCTTCTCTGCTATTTGATCTAACATTTTGTTTATTTCATCTAATCCTTCTTAATCAGTCACTGACATGTAGTTTGAACTAGAACTTGTGCTCTTTACTTCCCTCGTGTCAATTCCATAAACATCTCTCCTGATGACTGCATTTAAACCAGCAGATTAAACAGCAGTGTAGAAAACTCTAGGAGCCCCAAATGTGAAAAGGTTCATTGATCATGATGCCATCTGTTTTGTCCCTCTAGGGTCTCTTACATAGATAGCCTTGGTAAACAAAAGAGGACATATCAACATGGATTGTGTACTGTTTCCGTTTGTAGAACCACAGAGCTCACATCCCTACTTTCCTGACAAAAACATACATTTTAATCCCCGTTATCAAGATAATGAGTTAACCTGTGGATGTTTTCTTTAAAGAAAAGAAATAAAAATATTGGTAAAGCTGAAAAACCTAAGAATAATCTCTGCTCCAAAAGATTTAACATTTTACTTGAGGAGAACCAACAGGTATAATTATTGCTTTAATGGTAATAAGAATAAAGTGCATGAATACAAAGAACAGTAGACTTGACAGAGCAGGTGGTGTCTGGGTAAAGACTGTTATTTAAGATAATGGCATTAGCTACTATCTACCTGGCGGCTCCTAACTCCCTTACCCTTTGTCAGTCATTTCAATTCTTCATGGTAACCGTAAGCCATAATTATTCTTTCCCTTTGTTAGGAAAACAGTCTTCAAGAAGGTGAAGTAGAATGTATGGATGGTTATACGAGCTGTAAGAGGCCCCAATAAAATGGTTTTTAAAAAGAAGAAGGTGAAGTAATATCCCCAAAGCCACACAACCAGCAAGTAACTTCAAACCCAGCACAATGGCTCAAACACTGCCATCTCCCCTCTCCCTCCCCCAAAGTTGCTCAGCAGGCAGACCAGGTAGAGAAAGCCCTTCCAAGAAAAGACTGAAATGTGAAAGAGCCAGGTGTGTCCTTGAGGACAGCTGGCGCAAGGCTACGCAGAAAAAGCCAACAAAGAGGAAGAGATTCTCTTTACAAGAGAGCAAGAAGAATAAATGGAGCTAGGTGGACAGGTTAGCTATTGGAAAAGGACAGAATGCTATGCATTTAGAGAGGAAACACTACCGGTTGAATGAGGTTTTTAACTGCTGAAAATCTGCATTAGTGGCTAGAAACTAAACTAAGAACTTTACCTTCTTGTGGAAGTTATGCTTGGGGTTGACAGCGCAGAACAATTGGGGTTGAATTTCCTCATCAAACTAATAATTCATATTGAGCATCTGCTATGTGCTAAGACAAGGAGCGTCCATCATTCATGGTGCAGAGAAGCGGAGGAAACATAAATACAATACCTAAGTTAAATTCAGTGCTGTTTCTAATTACATATATAAAGACTAACCCTACTGTCACCAAGTCAACTCTGATTCAATAGATACTATATAGGATCAATGATCCTTAAGGTTTCTAAGACCACAACTCTTTATGGGAGCAGACAGCCTCTGTTCCCATGGAGTGGCTGGGGAGTTTGAACTGTCAGCCTTGCAATTAGCAGCCCAACACTTACCCTATTTTCACACCAGGAGTCCTTTGAACCTACCTTCAAACCTCAATCCGAACCCCACCCCCACCCCCGCCAATGAGTCAATTCCAACTCATAGCAACCCTATAGAGTTCCCACCTCAGCAAATTTCGGAAGCAGCTAGCCTCATCTTTTTCCCTACCAGGTGACCGGTGAATGTGAACAGCAGACCTTGTGATTAGCAGCCTAGAGCAGAAAAATACAGGGATCCTTTCCAAACTGTCCTATTTATTATTAATTCACACAAGTTCTGTGGAGCAAGATATCTGTTTCAGGGTTGTGTTTGACATCATCTGAGAAAAAGAACAGAAATGAACCCAACAGTTTACAACTGAGAGATGAGGAAGTAAGACAGAGCAGAATTGGTCACACACACGCCCCAAAAATGTAGGCACATGCAAAAGGCTCGCCCCCACCCACAAAGCAGCTGAAGGTAAACCTGGCGACCTTGAAAGAGCAGGAAAGGCAGATCTCTGCAAATCAGGCAGCTTCTCCATTATTCTGAGTTAAGCTTGTGCTCTCAGTCAACATGAGCTGGAATGGATTCAATGGGCTGTGGGTTTGTTTGCTTGTTTTCTGGCAAGCGGGCTCAAAGATACAGCTTCAAGGCTTCCCTCTCCACCCACTTATCTTTCTTTACAACTTTCCCCTCCTCTGCCAGCCCTCTCCTCTCCTCTGCCTCCAGTTTACAGTGAAGTCATCCTGGCAGCTCCACAGAGACCCCACCCCATGTGGAGACCTAGCCTGGCCTTGCAAACTCTGGTAATGTCCCAACAGCTGTAAAATATCAAGAGGAGCAGGATGTGGAAGGGACAAGTGGCAGGCTAAAAGCAGCTGAGGACAGCTGCAGTCTCTCTCTTTTCCTCTACAGTTTGCCAAGTCAGTTACCCGCCATTGAATTTGACACCAGGCTATTCCATATGCATCAGAGGAGAGCTCTGCTCCATAAGACTTTCAACCACGTATTGGGCGGGGCGTATATTGCCAGGCCTTTCTTCTGAGGTGTCTCTGAATGGCCTTGAACCTCCAACTTTGGGGTTATCAATCAAGTGCATTAACCACACTACCACTCAGGGGCTCTGTATATTTAAGATAATATAAAAATATCAATTCATTTTAGAGTCTCATATCTTCACTGTCTCCCACACCTATATATAAGAGGATACTAGCTGAAGAACAGGGGCGGCATCAGAGTGGAAATTCATTTACATCCTGTGTTTTCAATGCAAGAAATTGATTTCAATTCAGCATTATTGCTAAGTGTCTTTGTTTTTTCCTTGACTTTATCTTCATTTTCATATTGACGCCTACCATAAGGAATGGATACTTTAAAAAGTTATTTTTAAGGAGCTACTGAGAATAAAATGATATTATCCCTTGCTTTGTAAATGTACTTGCAGTAAAGTGAAATTACTTGTTATGGTTCTTCTATCCATAGGCTTTGTGAAGCCAGGGACTGGGTGGGATCAGGCCAATGAGGCATAAAGACCACTAAATTTGAGGATTGGTCAGTTGAAATAGTGGCGCCAGAGGCTGCAGCTTCAAGACCATGAGACACAGCAGTGGGCTTCCTGGCCTATGACTGAAAGGAGGTGTTGCTGAGGACAAAGGGACTAGATCCTTATAATGTAAGGTTCTGGCTTGTGGTATCCTGTTAACTACCCTCATAACCATGAGTATGGACTGTGAGTTCGATGTGGTCATTGCAACAGATGATTAAACCCAGTAGAGAAGTTGAGTGTCATGGGAGGGACAGTTGGTATCAGAATAGGGTAAAGAAGGTTGGAGGACAGAGGTATGACTCACTTCTACCCCATAGGAATCATCCTTGGGCAGATGTGGGGGACTTGGATGTTCCTTCCTACTAGTGTAGCTGGAGGAAGTCAGACATGACTCCACACTATTTCCTCAAGCTCTAGGCACACCCAGGGCTCACACCCGAGTCTTGTTTTATTATTCAATTTGAGTATCACCATAGCTACAGGATCTACAACCTTGGAACTGCAATGGTTAATCAAGTTCATTAAAATTCATAAACTCTCTAAAATCTGATAGAATTTTTAGAAAATGGTTTTCAATAATTTTCACTTGAGAAATCCT